AAGGCCTCATAGAATGGTAAACCACATTCCAGCATGTTGCCCATAAGGCAGCAACCTCCCCTTACGCCTAGGGACTGGCGAAAAGCTCAGCATGTTGACACCAATTGTTCAACCCTGACCAATAAAGGTAGGTGCTTCGCAAAAAGGTATTGCCACTTTGGGTTGACAAACCATAACCCCCAGAACCCACATGAAAAGGCCACCTTACGCTTTGCAGCATAGGGGCATAGCAACGACCAATAGGCCCTGTAACAAAGCAGGTAGCAAGGGACCCTTGCCAGGGCCCAGTGCACCTTAAAGCAGTTCTATTCAACTATCACAAAACCTATAAACCCACCTTATAGCTTGATGGTAAGGGGGGGAGATAGTAACACTTAAGTGTGGGGGAGGTAATGCTGTTAAGCGCAACAACAAAGTGAATAGAACTGGGGGACAGGGTGCCCCAGGATGCTGCCTTATATACATGAGGGAAAACCCCCCAGAGACCGGTAATGGACCCCTGGTACCTAGCCAAGTAAGGATTACTAAGTATCATGTGCTCTATGATGTCATATATGATGTCATAGTCTGGCCCTGCCCTGCCCTGGGCCTAGGGTCCAGAATTGACCGGCCTATGGCCTAGTGCCTGAGCCTAGCTCCTACCTATGATGTCAGAATGATGTCATGGTCCAGACAGAGTCTGGTTTCTATCTAGAAAAGGTCCGGCATCAGAGTCCAGCCTAATGTGTCCAGAACAAGATCATATGTCGCTTATTTAAGCGGATAACCCCTTAGATATGCAGCTGTACCCATATGCGGATGGATAAGTATGGATAAGTCCCTAGACCCTTCGATATGTCCGCAGAAATAGCGGAAAAATTAGGTAAAATTAGGGAAACTGTGACAGACAAGAGGTCAAAACTGAGGTCCCTAGGGCAGCAGAGGCCGGCTTATATACAGGGGAAGTTTAGGGGAGGCTGTGCGCACTGGTCCGTGCGCAGCTGGTCCGTGCACAGCATGCTGACGCGGCCCTGGGGGCCAGTGAGTCAGAGAGGTTGTGTCAGCGGAGCCCGAGCTATGCCGCGCACTGCCGCCCATCTAATCTAATCGTACAGTAGATGACAATGCGTCCATATCAGGCATGTAGTACAGAGGTTGCGGGTTCGAGCCCATGAAAAGGAAAAAATTAAAAAACGGCTAGACGCCGTACCAACTCGTGACACTGGTTGTCCTCAAAGAGAAATTTTACGTCCAAATGGTGAACTTGGCACAGAGTCGGCCATGTGCTGTAAATGTCAATACACAAATAATCGAGAGTAACCCACCATGTGTATTCTTCACCGACTCGATATCAATGAGGTTTGTCGCAGCGAGATATGCATAACTCCCGTACATTCGGAAATATATGCACCAGTCCGGGGACATCCCACCAGCGGTGGAAATCAAGCCATGTTATAGATGCTACGACAGGAAGTCGGCTCCTCTGCGATCTTGGCCTCTGTTCCTCCTCTGGACAAGTGGCATCGCTAATCTCTAGTGTTTGAAGGTTGCTCAGACGTGCTAAAACCTCGAAGACATCCATAGGGTCCAGATCGCCCCGTGACATTGTCACGGAAAGCTTCTTGAGCTTGGGATTCACCTGGGCAAGCATTAAGAGTGCGTGATTGGTCAGCAAGCCCTCTAGCGACAGCTCGGACAGGCTGGAGAGAGATGCCACTCCGGGTCCGATGCGAGGCTGTTGGATTAATAGCTCTTTGTCTCGTGGAAGTTTGAGAGATCGTAGATTCGTTGTCCGCTCGAGAATATCCGCCAAACAGGAGATCAAATCCATATGGGTCACGGGATAAGACTGTCACATGAACCTTGGAAATTCGAGCGTCCGGACCCACCGCAAGGAATGAGTAGGCGCTTCCTGAAGCATATGTGCGTGGAAACACAGGACTTGATAGCCACAAGAGAATCTGACTGCTGAAAGAACCTGACACATGGCGATGTTATGAATACCCCGCGCCGTGCGTGACAGCTTCGAGGCGTCCTTTTGCGAGAGGAATGAGACAATAACCAGAAGAACATCGTCGTTGAGCATCAAAAGGGAATGTCCGTTGGCCACTGTCGTCGATTTCTTTGTTGCCCTAGTTGGCCCTATGAGCCCGCTGCGTATACCCATGATCATGAGACATAAACTCACCGAATTTTAGATATACAAAGAGACATGTCCTAAGAGTGTATGATGGTCAACGCAAGGAGTCGCGTACTGTGGCGGATATTCGAACCGTCTTTGCACAACTGTGGCGAGCTGCGGCGTTTGCCGAATACAGCCACTATGGCGTCACCAACCTCAGTGACTCCTTCTAAAACAACAGACGTAATATGTGCAATTAAGTATTACGGTGTAGATAAGCAATCAATATAACACCACTAGATCTGATGCCACACACGTTGATCCACCCCGCATGTCCACTGGCATTCAGCTCTGTTCGTGCGCCCGAGGCTCCACAAACTTCTGCTCGAGGAGCTCGTCTGCGAGCTTGACGGTCCCGCTCGGCCTCTATCCAAAGCGTGCCCTTAGCGCGGTGTGCATTCAACCATATACATTTGTACCCGATGTGGTACTGCACCGCGGGCCACCATCGCTTCGTCAGGCTGTTCATGGGATCCGCCTAACCCGCCTGTTAAAAGTAGTGTGGCGTGCCATTGTGGCAGTTGCTGCGAGGGCCAGTCATAAGCACGTATGGCGTCCACGCACAAGGCGTGCACTTACCAATGGAGAATTTTAGGCAAGATCGCCTCGCCCTCTTCCAGCGTGCTGATCGTGCGCATTTGCTGGCGTTACTAGTCCTCCACGTTGCGTGCGTCATCGCCCAGGCCGTGAGGTACATGTCCAGCAGGCAGCTCGACACCTCTCACTCGCAGCTCAGGTGCTCCGTGAGGTCCTGCTGGTAGTTCACAATCGAGTACCAGTACCCCTGGTCGCCGAGCTTAACGTCCTCGAAGCGGCCGTTGGGCTCTGGGGGCCCGTACATGTCCCGGAACGCCTGCGGGTTCAGCGCGCGCACGCTGCCGTGCGCGAGATACACGCTCGAGTCCATAAAGCACAGCTCGCGGAGGTGCGCGAGGTCGAGCAACATGATGCATGAGCAGATGCGGTTGGTGTCGTGCTACTCCGCCGCGCTCATCTCGGGGTACGTCGGGATCATTATCGCCGCTGTCAGCGCGAAACGCACTAGAGGACGCGAGGACTTACGGATGCACATGCGCCGTCGTGAATGAAAGTCCAGGGAGACGCAAGTGTGCACCATGCGGTCGAACCACGGCAAGTGACGAACTAGGAATGTACGAGCAATCCGCACAATGTCTTACAGCATGATGCAGCATGGATCATCCGAGGAGTATCATAGGGACGGACAGAAATCTTGTATCAGGCTCGTTATGTCGGAGGATATCATGTTGAGCACCTCATCAAACTAACGAAATGGTCATATCATTGAAGGTAAATCAGGCTGATAAACAATTGTGATCACTGACGAGAAACTATGCGAGTTAGTTTTCGATTCGTTTGCCATGTCCTTGCTCAAATCATGAGGATGCTCCTGTGGTGACTGATATTCGAAGTGAGGCGGGTCATATAATAGAATGCACTCAGATAGACTTACACAGCCTATTCTCGTACCGGAGACACAACTACTGTAGAGGCAACGAGAGCTGCAGTTATTAATTAAACCAAACTTGACGGTCGGCTGCAAAGATGGGCGACCAAATGCCGTTACATCTTACCTACAGCTACTGAATAGTACAGCATACCGGATGAGTGGCTGAGGACCAGCAACCATCTCCTATGTCGGGCGAGGGAGGCCTTGTGATCCATCACAGTGGTAGATAGCGTCAAAGAAATACATGTACCATGGCGTGCCAGATGAAAGCAGAACATACGGTCAATAAGTTATGTGAAGGAGTTTTACAGTTGACTCATTGCTATTCACACGATGTGTCACATCAAGACGACCTAAGTCATCACTTCAATGAAAACGGTAAAAAGCATGATTCCATGGGTTGAAAAAAATCAATGATGTGATTTCTTTGCCCGATCTATGTGGGCCCTGAGTTTTTGCTGTTTGTCCCGTAACGATGCCTTTTTCTTGCTGCGGACGGCCCCACTTGCGATGATCATCATGATGGGCTTGTTCCTCGCCTTCTCTCTATTCGTTGAGCTACTCGGTGCGGCCTTCGACTTCTTGCCCTTGAGCGACGCGAATTTTTCACGTCCCTCGCGACCCTTTTCGATGGAGGCCATGCGCTCAGCGTAATCGGCCTTCGCCTTCTTGCGAGGCCCGAGAATGTCGTTCTCTGATACGAACGTGTCTTCGATGTTCCCAGACTGAGAGAGCGCTTTCTTTTTGGCCTCCAGGGCGGCCAGCTTGCGTTTGGCGCCAGAACCTGCGCCCCGCTCCACAGCCTGTGAAGCAGCTTGTATCCGCAGATCGTTGATCATAGCGAAGTCGGCAGGGGTCAAGATCTAGAGATCATTGGTGAGAAGAAGAATGTGTTTACTAGCGGCATGATCTCACTTTTGTTGTGGCAAGTGACGAGATGCGGTTCGCGGCAGCCTCCTCCACCGGTGTAGGGTCTTGCGTTGACTCGGCATCGGCGTCGACATCAGCTTTACCTTTCCCCTTAGCTGGCCGTTTCTCTCCCTCGTCCTCACTGTCGCTGATCTCAAGATCTTCACCGTCAGACTCAACATCCATCCATCCACCGGAGTCATCGGAGTCTTCTGATGATTCGACATCCCAGCCCTCCCAGGCAGCCTCATCATCCTCGTTTTCATCGCCTGATGCAATGCCTTCCTCCGCGCGCAGCGCCTTGAGATGGTCTTCCAGAAGCTAACCCAAGCCTGTATGATGATCTGCTGCTGAGAAGACGTGTGGAAACACTTACCACGAGCCCTTCGATGTCCACGGCGGCATCTGTACTGTGGCCAAACGGTAAGGGTTGGTTCCCCCCTGCCATGGTCATGCTCGCCTCCTTGCCGCGCTGTCTCCGCTTGAGCATACCAGGATTGACCTCCCGGAAGAGCTGCAGCAGCCCCCGCGCTGCCGCGGTAACAGCCTTGTCCCTGCTCTTCTGGTACTCGACCAGATCGCCAAGCAAGTCTTCCTCCATAGCCCAGGGCTGGCGTCTACACACTTCACGTATCGCATTCATACCCGCAGCGATGACCTCGCTGCCGACGCCAGGGTGCACGAACTCCTGTGCAAGCTTGCGCACAACAGGCGTGAGTGCATCCGGCGGCGTGAGGTCATGTACGGACTGGGCAAGCGCGACGAGGATGGCAGGAATGCGTAGCTGGTGATATGTGAGGTACTTCATGATGTAGGTGTAGAATCCAAGAACGCAGAGCTTGTGTGCACCCATGACGCGAGCCAGGAGTTGCATGAGCAGGATTTTGTGGTCGAGAGAGAAGCGCTTGTCATAACGGTTCAGGTTGTCATAGAGCTTCTCGCCAAACGTCTGCGGATCATTGAGCAGTTGGATGGCAGGGAAATTGGGTGTGAACGCGTCTGCTTTCCGTTTTTGTTTCTGCCAGATATCAGTTATCAAGCGAATAGCTTTGAGGAAGCGCAGCTCACCGATTTGAAGGACTTGAGTGTCCTCCGTATCTTCTTCTCTCCACTTCTTGTCTTCTTATTGATCTCTCTTCGGTGTTTTAGCCCCTTTACGTCTGGCTCCTATAAACCTAGTCAGTTAGAGTACATACATACAACCCAAGTCAATCTTACATCTTCTTCCTCGTCATCAGAATCGTCGTTCTCCTCATCACTCCCAAGGAAAAAGTGCAACGAGGCGCTTTGGACCTTCGTGACAGGATGGAAGCAACCAAGCGCGACAATAGAGACTGTCTTGGCATCATTCCTGGAAGAGCTCAGAGCCTCACCGCACGACATGTGATGGAAAGCACTTACCAGATGCCTTTCTTCCATAGTTCTTTCGTCAAGACGATCGCCCACATCGCTTCACCGCCGTTCTGCGTGGCATTCTGCGCAGGCATCCCGGAAGCAGCCCTTAGCTTTCCCTTGTCCCCTACCACCTCTGCGTCCATGCCGCGTTCCACCATCCCGAACAACATGGCCTGTACCGCGCGGTTGAGCTTGTGGTTTTTAGTACGGAGGTTGGCCGTACGGATGTCGGATAAGATTGTCTTTCGGATGAGTGCTCGCAGAGTCGTCGACGTTGTGCGGGGCAAGAGGGGGAAGAGGGTCTTCAGGAGTCTGCGAACGGGGATGAGCAATGGCAGAGCGCAGGAAGCAGTCGACGCACACTATGGAGGTGATCACATCCTTGTTCCTCAGCATAACGAGATTTTGGACGAGGGACTTGCGGGTATCGGGCGAGAGCGTGCCATAGTTTTCAAGTAGCAAAGTGGATAGGTGAGACGGGAACTCCGCCGTTTCCTTAGGGTAGCATTGCGCGACCTGCACAGCAGAGTTCAATAGAAGTATGAGGACAGCATGAGCAGACAACGTGCCTGCGCAATGAATGTGACCAATTCCCTAAAATGCTGAGCCTGCTCGTCCGGACTGATTTGGAATATTTGTCGGATGCTGTTGTAGTGGTTCCATTGTTGCAAGAACTCCTCTTTGTAAGCCGCAGGGTCGCGCTTGATCAGATTCTGTAGCTGGGGCAGGTTGGAGGTTAGGAGGACACCGCGACCCATGGTGGAAGTAACAGACAAGGTTCCGGTACGCCGTCCTCGAGCCGTGCTAGGATTTTTTGGCGGTAATTGCCAAATGCGGGCCAGGAACGAAGCTGTTGGACAACAAGGCCAAACAACGCCCGCCGATCAACTCCGTCAGAAATGGCTGGTGACCTCTTCAAAAGGTCTGTAATAGAGATGCACGTGAATGCAAGTTAACAATGACACCAACCATGTATGTGATATGACATCGTGAGACGAATTCAAGCTGCTGCGAAACAGCCCGCCAGAACACAATGAAGAATCTTATTTAAATGTTGGGTAAGGCACGTTCTTATCATTCGAATTGATTGCCAACGACAGCTTATGATGATTGCAAAACACGGAAAGCGAGATGATGTTCACAACGGTCCCTAAAGTAAGTACATAGCGTACCACCACAGACGTGACAACGTGCGTTCAGCAAGAACGTGCGAGAAGTTCAGAGATTATACATGGGTATACATGGCGCTGTTTGACTTCACCAATCCGGTACTGCCCCTATTGTCCAATCCACTGCTGCCTCTGTTTCCGGAGGTGACTGGACCTCCTCAGCAGCCTTGGGTTCCTCGCTTGTCTCAGCTGACGCTTCCGCTGATGTGCGTTGCGCTCGTCCTCTGCCACGACCACGACCTCCGCGCGAGACGCCACGGATACCGATAGATTGACGAGGCGCCTTATCTGCATCCTCGCCATCCTCAGGCTTCTTGACTGGTTTCCAGTCTCGGGCTGGTTTCCCGGAGTCCCATTCACGAGTTTGGATCTGTGGAAATGCAATGAAGATCTCCACGCCACACTTGTAGACATTGCCCACCTTCTCCATCTTCCTGCGAGCGTTTTGCTCGCGAGTGCGGTCGATGTTCTCCTGCACCTTCTTGGTCTTTGCCGCCTTGACCCGTTCAGCCTCTTGTGTCTTCTTGAAAGCATCTTCATCAGCTTGGACATCCTACACAATGATTAGCATAGGAATGGTGCCCAGCGATGTCTGTAACACACCGCGCGCCGTTGTTTGATCTTCTCGTTTTGCTCCCGTATCCGAATCATCCGTTCGGTCAGCTCCTCGTCGCTCAGTTTATCCTATGGCGCATTGTGAACTTGTGCCACATCGCCAGTAGACTTAGATACATACTCGTTGCGCCCCTCCGGTTTTGACGCGTTCTGGATTCACATATGGCTGCTTCTTCTCCCGCTCCCGCTTTCCACCATCGGATGTTGGAGACTTGGTCTCGTCCTCCGCTACAGGGGTCTCCGCGGCTGTCTCTGCAGCATCTGAACTGTCTATTTCCTCCGCTTTTGGTGCATTGGTTTCGTCCGCCGCATCCGGGGGAGGCTCGAATGAGCCAGAGGTTTCCAGCTCGTCCTTGATCCTGAGGGTGTCGAGGTCCAGGCCGAGCGAGTTTGGGGCAGCGTCAGGAGGGGCGTCCATGGGAGACGGAGATGAAAGAGGTGAAAGACTAGAGGCGCGAGACGCCTGTGCCGAGATTGAGACCATGTTCTCGATGTATGGGAGATGCCGATCTCTTCGACGGCGCCTCTTGTCCTGGCGCGATCCCTCATCGATCGCATATAAAGTACCCCGGGCAAGCGCGGTTTCCCCACTGCACTTCACCCCCATCGCCCACCATGTCTCTCTCCAACAAGCTCTCCATCACCGACCTCGACCTCAAGGGCAAGCGCGTCCTCATCCGCGTCGACTTCAATGTCCCCATGCAGGATGGCAAGGTCACTAATCCCGCCGTAAGTCCACCTTCAGCATTCCCCGCGGGCTGCTCCTCACAAATATACAGCGTATTGTCGCAGCGCTCCCCACCATCAAGTATGCGGTTGACAATGGTATGCATGAACACCCGCGCTGAAATGCCCGCTCACCCCTTCCCCAGGTGCCTCGAAGGTAATACTCATGTCCCACCTCGGCCGCCCCGACGGCAAGGTCGTCGCCAAATATTCGCTCGAGCCCGTCTCGAAGGAGGTCGAGAAGCAGCTGGGAAAGCCCGTCATCTTCGTGCACGAGAGCGTCGGCGCGGACGTCGAGAAGGTCGTGAACGACGCCGCGCCTGGGTCCGTCATTCTGCTCGAGAACCTCCGCTTCCACATCGAGGAGGAGGGCTCGACGAAGGACAAGGACGGGAAAAAGACCAAGGCGGACCCCGCCAAGGTCAACGAGTTCCGCGAGGGTCTCACGAAGCTCGGCGATGTGTATGTGAACGACGCGTTCGGCACCGCGCACCGTGCGCACTCGAGTATGGTTGGCGTCAAGCTGCCGCAGCGTGCGTCTGGCTTCCTGATGAAGAAGGAGCTCGAGTACTTCGCCAAGGCCCTCGAGAACCCTGAGCGCCCCTTCCTAGCCATACTTGGCGGTGCGAAGGTCTCGGACAAAATCCAGCTTATTGAGAACATGCTGGACAAGGTCAACTCGCTTATCATCTGTGGCGGTATGGCTTTCACTTTCAAGAAGACCCTCGACAATGTTCCCGTATGTCTGTACCCGGTGTCGCTGAGAAATCCGTATTTAAACCAGCTGCTCATAGATTGGAACCTCGCTTTTCGACACTGCCGGATCAGAGAAGGTCGCTGCCCTCGTTGAGAAGGCGAAGCAAAGAAATATCAAAGTTGTGTTCCCTGTCGACTACATCACGGCAGACAAGTTCGACAAGGACGCAACGACTGGCATTGCCGATGACGTCACTGGTATCCCAGATGGCTGGATGGGTCTCGACGCGGGCCCGAAGAGCCGCGCGCTATTCAAGACCACCGTGCTGGAGTCGAAGACCATTCTCTGGAATGGGTGAGCGTCCATCGAGGGACCCTACATTGCGCATCTGCTGACCAAAGCTGCTTCTAGGCCTCCGGGTGTGTTCGAGTTCCCCAAGTTCTCACAAGGTTCGGAGTCCCTGCTCGAGGCAACGATCGAGGCGGCGCAGAAGGGTGCGACTGTCATCGTCGGTGGTGGCGATACAGCGACAGTCGTCGCGCAGCACGGCGCAGAAGACAAGCTCAGCCATGTCAGCACGGGTGGCGGCGCCAGTCTCGAGCTTCTCGAGGGCAAGGTATGCCTGACTCTTCCCATCTTTCACTCTGGAATGTTGACAGTTTCCCTGCTAGACTCTGCCTGGTGTTGCGGAGCTCAGCGAGAAGTAAATGCACGTTCGATGAGCAGGGGGAAAGAATCTGACGTTCGATGACTAGAAGGAAGGAAATCAAAACGATGTTGTAAGAAAACCGCGAATGTATAGCTATAGACTTACTGTACCCTTGCGCTCAGAATTTAATTGTAGCTCTGACGTCACACCACATATCTCGCGTATTAGTGGGAGGGTCACGTGCACGCAGATTCTCATTTCGAGCGACGGACTGTCTTGGACAACTCTCACAGCAGCGCCGACGAAGGATTTGGCTGACTGGAGAGTTCGCACCCGCCTCCATCTGGTCGCACAGCAGAGTAGTTCGTACTCGTCTACAGGTCTGAACCATGGCTCGTGCTCGTCGTCGCAACGGCAGATCGTCCACCGCGTCAGGGGCGCCCGACGACGCCGCGGCGTCCTCTAAGCAAGATGCTGCCGACCCCGGTCCGGGCATGCAGGATGAGGATACTTGCCCTGCTTGCAAGACCGGAGAGACCACCCAGGAGTGGAACGCCGCCGACAAGGAGAACTGGGTCCGTTGCGATGCATGCAAGACGTGGTACCACTGGCGCTGCGCCGGTGATGGCGGTGACCTCGACGCGGTCGACAAATGGTTAGCATTGCTTGCCTCCGTGCTCTAGCTGAGCTTGCAAACTGTTTACCCCCGCGCTGCATAGGTTCTGCAAGGCGTGCATGGCTCAAGACCCCGCGCGCGTGATCACGATGAAGCCGCCTGCGCGCAAGTCGGCGCGGAAGCGCACCCAGCGCGACTACGCCGGACTGCACAATACAGGCTCGGAGGCGGGCCCGGATCGCTGGCTGCGCATGCTGGAGGGCAAGGCGATCAAGGAAGACTCATTCCGGCGCATGAAGGGCACGGAGGTCGGCGTGGAATGGCTGGAAAACGACGAGAGCGCCATGCGCGAGCCCATTGTCATCGAATCGCCTGACGGTCTCGGTATGAAGATGCCGCCGAAAAGTCTAACGGTGCGGGATGTGGCGGAGGTCATCGGCGCCCAGACACCGGTCGAAGTCATCGGTGAGTGCAGGTTTCAATCTCTATAATGATATGTACTAACGACAGGCCTGGAGATGTGAACACACAGTCGACTGCTCCAGGCTGGACCCTCGGGAAATGGGCCGACTACTACGAAACGGAGGCGTCCGCACGCGACAAAATACGAAATGTGATCTCGCTCGAGATCTCCGGGACCGACCTCGCAGACAAAGTGCTTCCACCGCGGATTGTACGGGAGCTTGATTGGGTAGAGAAGTTCTGGCCAAGTACCAAGAAGGGCAGAGGGAATGCCTATCCGAAAGTGCAGCTATACTGCCTGATGGGCGTCGCGGGGGCCTGGACGGTGCGTCATCGGTCGCTGGCTCGCTCCGCTGTACTGAAGGAACTTCGTTGCAGGATTGGCACGTCGATTTCGCTGGCTCGTCTGTGTATTACCATATTTTGCACGGCACGAAAGTGTGACCATTCTCATCTAGCATCCCGTTGTCTGTTTGATGCGAGCTATGCCACAGGTGTTTTACTTCATCCGTCCGACGCCTGCGAACCTACAGGCGTACGAACGATGGTCAGGAACGGAGATGCAAAACCATTCCTGGCTGGGCGATATGGTCGACGAGGTGTTCAAAGTTGAACTGCATGATGGTAACACCATGATTATTCCCACTGGGTGGATACACGCTGTGGTAGGTGTCGTGTGCTCTGTGGCCAACTTTATTATCGCTGACTGCGAAGTAGCACACGCCCGTTGACACACTCGTCTTTGGTGGGAACTTCCTGCACTCATACAATGTGCCCACACGTGAGGCTCATAGCTATCAATCCGTCAGCGTATCTAATGGGTGCTACAGAGCTCAAGGTGCGGGATATCGAGATTGCGACTCATGTGCCAAAGAAGTTTAGGTTTCCTTATTTCATACGGTGCGTTTTGGTGCCGTTGTTATGCGTGTCACGGCTAAATTTGGGTATGACGTAGGTTATGTTGGTATGCCGCAGAGAAATATTTACGGGACCTAAAGGCCAAGGAAGAATTCTCGCCAAGGGTGCTCGAGTCAGTCGAAGCTCTTGTTACATTTCTAGTCTCAGAGGCCCGTACGATGGAGCGAGGGACCGACCAGGCAAAGCGAGAGGCCAAGGAGCAGGTGCCAAGTGATCGCATCAAGGATGCCCCTGCGTTGGTGCGGGAGTTGCGGTGGCGGGTACGTCATGCAGCGGGGCATACAAGCGATGATGAAGGCCGCAGCAGCCGCAAGTTGGCGAAGACTAACAGTGCCGACCATGGTGTGAATGGGTTGGGCAAGCGGAAGAGGTCGACGGCTGAGCCGGAGGATCCCAGCGGCAACGGGATCTTCAGGAACTTCAAGAGGCGGCAGTGGGAGCGGGTGGCGGAGCTGGCGCCGGAGAAGGAAAGCAGGGTGATTAAGGCGCGGCGGCCAGACGGAGAGGACTGGAGAGAGCGGTGGGTGGAGTGGAGGGAGGAGCTGAACGACGAGGAGGGTGGCGAGGAGGTCGAGGTCGAGCGGCGGAGGGATGTGGTTGTGAAGGTGCGTCAGACGGATAAAGGAGTGGAGAGGCAGAGGATTGAGAGGGTGGTCGAGGATTGGGTGTGGACCGGGGATCCCTCCGTCCCATCGAGCCCGGCAGCGGCAGCGGCAGCGCAGGAGATCAAGCAGGAGAGTATGCTGATAGACGGAGACACCGGGGGCGGTGATCCCGTGGCCGCTCAGCAAGAACCATCGGAGGACAAGCCTCCGCCCAAGATGGAGGTAGACGCGGTGGGTAACCATGTTGCACAGCCTGAGCCCTTGCCTGCGCCCCCTCCTGCTGTGGTAGCTTGATGTTGTCTATATCATTATTGGATTCGATGTGTATTTCTTGGCTTTGCTGCGGTCAGCCATGTTCGTATCAATCCACAATTCCTAGCCCGGAATTTGTCGTGTACCCGATTCGCTGCTGATCCACAGGTCAGGTAAGGTTGCTAAGCGCTGGACTCTGCCTTGAAGCTTCCTCTGTCCCACCATCCTCGTCGTCTCGCACGTCGCCCGCATCGTCCGTGCGTCGACCTGGTACACCATGTCCGACACACAAGGCTATCCTGCGCCGGCGCAGGCACAGCATCCTCAGCAGATGTCTCCAGGCAGCCAGCAGCACCCCATGCTCGCCCACCGCCATACCCAAGATGATTCTGCCTACCCGCACGAGCACGAATACCAGGGCCCTAGTCGTGAGCTGAGATTTCTGAGATGCACACGCTATGCGCCCCTTATGTCCTTTGTCCCCAGCGAACCCGCTCATGCGTCTCCAGAACTACTCGGTTCCGTCGCTGCCGTCGCAAGGGCACCCGAACGGCCAGCACGAACCTATGCCGCCCATGCCGCCCCCATACGAGCAGTATGACCCTAACGATATCCTCAGCGGCTTCAACGACCTGCGCGTCAGCGACCCGTCAGCGCATGGGGCTGGTCCGCTCGCGTACCACAACGGCGATCCCGTGCCGCGCGCGGGCACATCGATGTCCATGCGCTCTGCCATGTCGGTGCACGGCCAGCAACGTATGGGACACCCCGGGATGCCCGTCTCTCCCGATCACGCGATGAGGCGCATGCCTCCCGGCCGTCCGAACGGGTATGACGCGAGCTCGGTGCATTCTGGCGGGAGCGGGGGCAGTGCGTACAACAGTGTGTACAGCGACACGCGCGATTCCGGCGCGTACGATGGCTCCGGGGAGACGGACGGGACAAGCCTGTATTCGTATGAGGACTCGGTGTACCAGCAGCAGCCGTCGCCCAATGGTTACCATATGGATGGTGCGGGGCCGTATCCTCCCCGTGGATATCCCCCGCCAAACTGGCAAGGCCAGCAGCCGGGCTACCCCATGCACGCCCCTCCGCCTCCCCAAAATCAGTTCAATAGCCTGTATGCTGCTGCGTCCGACGTACTTGGGATGGGTCCGCCGCCGGGCCCGCCTCAGCCTTCCCCATCACCATATCATCCGCCTCCACCAGGCTCGCACGCCCCGTCTCCCGTCAGCTACCACCCACCCCCGCCTGGTCCCGGTCCTATGCCTCCGCAACAGTACTACGCACAAAACGGACCGCCTCCGATACCTGCAGGCCAGTCTGCAACGTACCTGGGCCCGGGTGCTTACCAGCCCCCTGCCCCGCCACCGTCGATGTATCCTGCGTCGTCACAGACGTCCCTTGTCCGCGGGCCGCCGCAACCACCAGAGATGCAGGAAGAAGAGGTCGAGTTCCGCAACAGGCCATCACTGCAAAGATCTGGCACGACCGCGTCCGTCAATCTCCGCACGCAGAAGACAAAGGCGATCGATCTGAGCGCGCCGCCCTTCACGAAGGAGTACATCGATCAGTACCGGCAGCGCATCAAAGACGATCCTGACCCAGAGTCGCACTTCTTGTACGCAAAGTATCTGATCGAGGCGGCGAAACGCTTCGGTGCAGACGCGAAAGACCAGCGGGGCGTAAAGAAGTTCCGTGATGCGCTCATCCAGGAATCGCTCAAAGTCATGCGGCGGCTTGCTACCCAGGGCCAGGCGTACGATGAGGCGCAGTTCTTCCTTGCGAACTGCCACGGCACAGGCATGCTCGGCTTGCCCGTCGACCATGAGCGCGCGTACCACCTCTACTTGCAGGCAGCAAAGCAGAACCACGCCGCAGCGTGTTATCGCGTCGCGGTGTGCAACGAGATTGGCGCGGGGACGCGCAGGGAACCTCAGCGGGCGTTGGCGTTCTATCGCAAATCTGCTTCGCTAGGCGACACGGCGGCGATGTACAAGCTTGGCGTGATCTTAATACGCGGGCTCCTCGGTGAGCAGCCGAATCTGCGCGATGCAGTCGGGTGGCTGAAGCGCGCGGCGGAGCAAGCGGATGAAGAAAACCCACACGCGCTGCACGAGCTCGCACTGCTGTATGAAAACCCACAGAACGGTGTGGTGCCATACGACCCTGCGTACGCGAAGGAGTTGTACACCCGTGCAGGGCACTTGGGCTATACGCACTCGCAGTATCGGCTGGGGCAGTGTCACGAGTACGGGAACCTGACGTGCCCCGTCGACCCCCGACGCTCTATCGGGTGGTACACGAAGGCGGCGGAGAAGGGACACTCGGAGGCGGAACTCGCGCTGAGCGGGTGGTATTTGACGGGTAGCGACGGTGTGCTCAAACAAAGCGACTCGGAGGCGTATTTGTGGGCGCGAAGAGCTGCAAACAAAGGCTTGAGCAAGGCAGAGTATGCTGTGGGATACTATGCCGAGGTCGGGATTGGTATCAAGCAGGACATAGAGTTCGCCAAGCGGTGGTACATGCGAGCAGCAGGTGCGTCATATCGGATGCTTTTACTGAGACTGTCGCTCATGATATGATTCCACTTACAGCGCAAGGCAACAAGCGGGCCATGAACCGCCTGACGGAAATGAAACGAAATGGAAACAAGCGGGCGAACATGGCGCGGCCGACGCGGCAGGACGCGAAAGATGAGTGTGTGATTGTGTGAGGGGCATTGTTGGTTCTCTCTTGTGTGCTGTCTGGGTAGGATGTATCTCTGCGTGCAGCGCCAGACTCGGGTCGGTTTCGCTTTCATCGTCGATCATTGTCACCTTTCTTTACTCGTTCATCCTATCTAATTTCGCTACTTGTATTGCGCCTAATACCCGACCAATGCAATGGATGAAAGTGACATGAGCTGGGACTTCCTCCCGTTCTCGCAGGCCCATTTGGATTGACTGGGATGTGCTTGCTGGCCGGCTGCCTTCGAATGACTTTCTCTGGTGCAGCTGACGTGCCCCAATGAGGAACACACTCGAGTCCATTGTTGGCCCGAGAACGAGGAATGCTGGAGGAATGGGCATCAGCAATGTCGACGAGCTGCTGCTGAATGTGACGGCACCGTGTCAGCTGCTAAGTTCGCACCGTGTGCGTTCACTGAGCTAGAAGACTGTGACAAATTCAGGGAACATGGTAAATCGTTGTCCCTCTCACCAGATGCCATATGTACAACGAATCTCCATGGCTGAGGAGGACTATCATCTTCTCAGTCGCTGTCAACAATGTAGATGCTCGACTTGATACGGCCGCCAGGGCGACAGAATCGCAGGCCGGTGCCCTGGCCTTTCTTAACTTCCTCGTCTTCGCTGCTTTGCTCCTTTCTTTTTCGTTTGTTGCCCACTCGTTCATCAGGCTCGTCGCCGCTGTCCTGGTTCTCGCCCGCAGACCAGGTGGCTTCGTGAGAGTTGAACTTGTGCCAGAGGTCCTTTTCATAAATCCTGTCAACTTCGCGATCCCGCTTGTCTAGCTTCTCCTCTTGGACGAGCTCCTCGAGAAGCGCATCCGTGTCAGTGTCCTCCGGCATGAGCTCCTCTTCGCGGAACGGCTCGGCGTATGTAGACGGAAGGGGATAGGGCATGTAGGCAGATGTGTACTGGACATCTGCGGAGTTGGGGCCCGAGCGCACAGATGACGGAAGGCGCATAAACGGTCTGAAGATTGTTCGGTGAAGCGATTGGGCAGAAAGCAGCTTGGATTCAGCTTCATCGTCACCTATATTTCCATCCTCGTCTTTAGCGTCCGACGGCTCGTCTCCATCGTCACAGTCATCCTCATCCTCGTCCGTCCCTGACGAGGAACTATCCGATTCGGAATGGTCACTTTGTGAACTTTGCTGCTGTTGTCTACGCTTGCTATGCACGTCTTTCTGTGACTCCCGTTCACGAGCACCTCCAGCCTCGCTATCCTCCTGTGGTTCGATGCCGAGTCTCCCCAGTAAACCTTTAAAATGTGAGCGTTTGGACAATCTGCTGCTGCTCATCATAGACAAAGCATGCTCGACGTTCGCGACTGCCACGGTCTGCTCGCATCTGTTAGTATAACTCCGTAGGTGATTCACCGTGTAATATCGAGGGGACATGCCTGGTTTTCACCCAATCGCCAGACCTTACTATGCATCTTCGCAAGCTGTTCTTGCTCTCTCACAATTACTGTCCGATGCACCAACTGCGTTGTGAAATGAATGACATGGGCATTCAAGAGCTTCATCACCTCTCCTGAAATTTGAGAACCAACTGAAGGGGGAACATCATGCAGCCTGTTGTAAAGCCTAACGATAGGTCAGCAATGATGATCACTTCAATATCATATCCAGCACAAATACGCACTGCATGAGCTTAGAGATTCCTATAGGATGGAGTAAACCGAGCCCATCTTCATGTAATCTCTCTGCATTTAATCCTAGCTTTTCGAGCTTCTCCAGACGCTTGTACGGTAGTGTAGCTCCAGATACCTTTTGCGGTCGCTGTGGCTCCTGTACCGTTTGGTTTTCTGGATCGACTTGATCATCCTTCTCTTTGTGCGCCAGGTTATCCTCGTGAGCGCCTGAGTACATTAAGGCATGTCAGAGATAAAATAAGAGTTGCATTGATTTCCGAGAAGTACGAACCGTTGTCCTCAAGCGTCGGTGACGTAGTTTCCGTAACGAACGAGACGGAGCGCGACTTGGATGCTCCCTTATGGCTCTTCCTTCCCGTCTTCAGTCTCCCCGCCGTCTCGTCAAGCGGCACTCCCTTCGCCTCCGCGCGCTTCTTCCGCATATGCAATCGCTTCTGCAACCTACGACGTGCTCCAGGGGACAGTTCCACTAGTGATTGGGTACCCTCTGGATCGGGCGCTCGAGCGGGTATTGCGCTTGGGTTGGCAGTCGACCCGAGAAGAGATGCATCTCCAAGAACAGGATCCATAAGCTGTTCATCCTCTTTCCCTGCCTCCTCTGCCTCTCGAAGTACACGATACACCGCCGTCAACATGGGTGCATCAAAGTCACGGAGCGCATCTTCAGTCTCCCAATCTTTTTGTTTGTCGTAAAGCCACAGATCAAACGCAGCCTTCCGGGCCTTCTCCCCGTCGCGGTCGCGTTCCTGACCGCTTTTCTTCGGTGCGCGTATGGCGAGCCTGTGAATGCGCATATCTTCTTCGCGTTGCTGTTGTAGAGCTTCCTCTTCTGCAGCTGGCTCCGCACGCATCAGCGCCCGTGCATATTTCTCCTCGGTAGCAATCCAGTTGTCAGATACTTCTATAGCTGCGTCCCGGTCTTCACTACGAAGTGCGCCAACATTCCTCGTGGCATCCTCGAGCAGGTTGAGGTAGATGCAAACATCTGTTGTTGTCTTCGTCTTGATCTCATGAGCAATCAAGTCAGGTCTTGCCCGCGAGTGGACTGACAGCGCGTGGAAGAAGAGATTCTTCTCCGTGCTCGTCCAGAAGGCACGGGGTGCATTGAACGACGGAGACGGAGTAGGTCCATCTTGCCCAGCAAGATGGGCGCGCACTTGGTCGAGATGTTCCGAGAGTTGAGCGGCGTAGATAGAGTCAAGGGGCGTGTCGGAGTCGTCTTCTATGTCTATGCCTCGGCGCATAGTATGCGACGTATGAGGTGATTCTGGCACTACAATGGATATATATCAGTTACATTTTGGGCAGTCGAGCTCTTGGTACAACTACGAGAATGACTGCAATGCCTTGCAGTCCTACTCGTAGTCGCCTAAGGGCTCGCGCAAGCTTAAGCACAACAGTAGGTTGCTCACGCCACCGTGCAGCTAGTCTAACGTACCTTGATTGATTGGGATGGGTCAAAATAAACCATGTGCCAATTGCGATCGCATCCTTCGAAGTGCAAATGTGATGTCAGTGTACGTTCAAGAAGTTGACTTTCATCTTTCTGTACTCGTCCATCTTATCTAATCTCGTTGCTTGTACTGCTCGGCGACCTCTGCACTGCAATGGATGAAAGTGATGTGAGCTGGGAATGCCTTGCCTTCTTGCATGGGTCGTCTGGATTGACTGAGATGCGCTTTCCAGCCGTCCATCCTCGAGCAGCTTGATCTGGTGCAGCTGACGTGCCTCAATGAGGAGGAGGAGCACACTCTCAAGTCGATCGTCGGCTCGAGAACCAAGAATACCGGAGGAACATACCTCCTTAGCGATGCCGACGAGCAGCTGCTGTTGAATGTGACGGTATGCCCGTCAGCTATTGAGCGATGGAATGGAGCTCATACCACGCCCGTTCAGTTCAACCAGACAGTCCGCATACGCTCCATCTCCATCCAATCGTCGAATGTGGCGCAAGCTCCCATGAGAATCAAACTTTTTCTAAATCATCCATCCTTGGGATTCGACGATGTCGAGGACGGAGAGGCTGCACAAGAGTTTGAGCTCACAGAGGAGCAGGTGCAACAGGGGAAGCGGATTCCTCTGCGGTATGTCCGCTTCCAGAGCGTGAACACCCTTCATGTACGTAAATGCTACGTTTGCGAAACACAGTAGCTCATACCTCTGCACGCAGATATTCGTAGAGTCAAATCAAGGTGGTGAAGACCAGACGCGGATCGATGCGATCGACTTTTATGGATTCCCTGTCGTGTATGTCCCGCTCTTATGGCAGAAACAACATCGTTGAGCTGATCTCCTTCGCAGCGGCACCAGGGACCTCAGTGGACTGAAGAAAGTAGAGGACGATTAGTATGTACGCGAGTGTCTCAGTCTGTCGAGGAAAAGCCACGATCACTTGTAATTGTACGGTATTCCGCACCCTGTGCAGACAGTACCGAGGGGTGCTATTACATAAGAATAATTTCGCTTACTCTCGTCGCTTCAGCAGCATAGAGATTGGTAGACTATGTGCATGGACCCCTCAGCTTTAGGTGGATCATTTGCCATCAATCTGCAACCACATGCTCCATCGTTTCCGGACTCCCTCGTCGCCTTCGAACACCCAGTTGACCCGCTTGATCTCACTAAAGCCTTCACCGACCGCCGGCTCCTGGTACTGCGCCTTGAAGCTTGTATATGCAGTATACGGCACCATCTCTCGTTTCGACTAAAGTGTGGAATATGAAAAAGCAATATTGACGATTATCAGCTATGGCGTACCTCCTTGTGAACAAGGGCTGGCGGCAAGTTATACGCGCGGTAGAGATTATTGTGCCACGCTAAATCAGACGAGCCTTCGAAGATGACACATCTATCGTTCCTGGGAGTAAGCATCGTAGCAGCAAGTTGTCCGATTGGATATCGTACCTGACAGGCACCTGGAGTCTCTTCGCGAGATCAACATAGTACTTCCTTGTATCTACGTTGCGATTCGTGTTGTCTATACACAAAATTCAGAAGATGCAAGGAGACCGCACTCATGGCAAGTTACCAATGACGCAGCTCTTCCCTTCTTTCACGGCCTCTTCTGCCGCTTTGATGCATTTGTCCCTCGTCTTCAAGATGTCTTGATTGATATGCACATATCCGGCGGGCTCGAAGTGTTTGCGGTAGAAGGTAGATTTACCAAGGGACGGGTACCCGACGAAGAGAACAACCTCCGGTGACCGAGATGCCACAAGGGGAGTCGAAGTAGGTGTAATTTGCGGTGCTATTTGCATTGCTGTCATTTCATGGAGAATTATAGAGCAGTGGATAGCGCTCACAGTCAGTGGGCAGGGACGAGGGATGGAAGCCGGTCAGGGTATATGGGGCAGCAGGTAGCTTAAGGAAGTACTCCTAGGAGAGGTCTTGACGAAGCGTGCCCGACACGTCTCAAATGTCACATACCTCGGGTGTAAAAAAGGGGATGCCAATGTTCAGTGCCCATTTCCGGTCTGTCCCGGCGTGATCATTGCGGCGGCCGGCAGCATCCCCAACAAAGAAAGACGACTCGATATCTAGATTGTGTGGAATCAGAACGGGATTGCAGACACTGGTGACAACTAGCAAACCTATCTGTACGCCATCTTGTGCAAAAATACGCTCCAGCTCGTACCACATTCCCGGCATGGGCTTGCGGTACCCATCACGGGCTGTGGCTGCTAATAGACGAAAAGGGACCTCTGGTAGCTACAGGAAAGACGTTAGAGTCGGGTCCTACTAGTGACGCGAGCTACTTGCAGCAGCACCTATGCAAGGTACTTTCTTCTTCCACTCCGTGAGCGCGCCAGAACGGAGAGCCTGGTTTGTGATTATTACTACTGAATAACTGACGCCAACTATTTGAGAGCGATTTTGAACGTGTGCTCCTTCACTCACCCTTCGTCGTAGACCTCCTTCAGCTTCGTGGGTATACTCGGTCTCCACCATTGGAATTCCGGAGGGGCGCCGCTCTTGCTCTTTTTTCCGAAGCTTGACCCAATGAGACATCCGTCGAGATCAAACGCAGCAACCTTTGTCCGGCTCTCGGGTTGCAAGTTGACGCCATGTAGACAGGTGGCTTTGGGGCCTAGCGCTGGCCAAATCCATTTGAACGTGGAATTTTGTTGGGCCTTTCGTTCTGAAGGCTTCTCAAAGATAGGATACACTGTTGAAGAGATTTCGATGAGGAACATCAATACGTACTATGTTGACGCATACCCTTCGCCACTTTGCGAGGCGCGCTTTCTTCAGCATCGCTGAGTTGCTCCGCAGGCCTTTTCTTCGACGTGGACGCTGCCACATAGCATTTGTGAGCTGCCAAACCTTGCAAGTGTCTAGTGTACAAGACAAAACGGACCCTTTGGAGCTGACTTCTTCGAAGGCGCCATCCAATGTCGAAGGTTTTGAGGCTGGTTTGGGTTGGGATTGAGTTGCTTTAGCAAAGTGCAAGCGGTCAAGTTAGAATAAGCTCTCCTCCACTGTGGTTTAATGAAAATGTGAGACCAACGAGGGTAATGGGCTAAGATGGTCATACATTGGGCAGAGAGCGCCGGGCGTAGTCACAGCCGGTCTCTTTTTATGACGCGACATGTCGCTGTCTGTGCTTGTTGCTGAAGATCCTCTCGACACTGGACAGATTCCTAGTCTGCGTCGTCTCGTACCCATCCGTTTTCATACCACACCCCACCACCGCGTACAGTATAGGACCGATCGTTGTAACACCACCAGTACCTGACACCGCCATATATGATTTAGGCTAACTAGCAGTGGCTACTAGGGTACGGTGAAATAGGCCGGGCTAATTAGCTACGGCTAATTAGCCCTTGCTAACTAGAGCTAATTAGCCGAATTAGAGCTAATTAGCCGTAAATTTCACAAAATAGGGTTAAATAGGTTATATGATGCGTGCTGATTTCGGCCATGTTCGGACACTGTCCGGACGCAATAGCAGTAGTTGTACCTTGCGGTCGTTCTGTAGAAAGACCGGTAATCATATTATTGAACGGTTTCGATTGCCTGTCAGTGTAGCAACATCGAGATAGCGATTCTATCGACCATTGCAGCCTCGTATGTCACTGTTGAAACGTGCAGCCTCGTGTGGTCGGGCGCGTGAGTAGCCGGGGGCCGGAGGCCCCTATTGTAGTATATAACGACCCCGCGTGATGTACATACTGCACGCAATTGTCTCTTATGGGCATCGCTACGCCTGTGGACAAACGTGCCCCGCGCTGTTCACACCCTTGTTCCAACACAATTGTGTCAGCCTGCTGGGGGGTTTACTACCTAGCAAAGCTCTGGGGGCAGCTTGAAGCCCACCACTTGCTGCGTTGCCGGATCCTGTGCGCATGCCGTCACTGTTAACGCTTTGCTGGTCGCTGTTGCACCGCAGACCATTCCTGCCGCCATTGCTGCTGAACCACCCGCCTGGATGGGGCCGAAGCCATCTCAATCGACCTTATATGATCGCCGAACCCTGATGCGGACCCGATCAAATCCCACCATCGAACTGCTGAACTGCTCACTGAGAGCACCACCAAACTGCTGAACTGCTCGCTGAGAGCACCACCAAACTGCTGAACCGCTCACCGAGAGCACCACTAAACCACTGAACTGCCAAACTGCCAAACTGCCAAACTGCTCATCAAGAGCACCAATCAAACATGGAGCTGAGGAGTTGGAGCCGAGAAGTTGATGAAGATCGTCATACATCATATGCCCTACCTTTGTGCCTAAGGGTCACCCATCACAGCTCATTTGAGCACGGATTATTGGCCGGATGTCAGACATGGGGATTGTCGCGACTTGAGGTCAAGCGACAGGAGAAAACCTAAATGCTGGAGGCGTTCGACTGGGTCTCACCAAAGCGATGGTGAGCAGAGCTCAAACCTAAGGCTAGGGACAAGAAATGTATTAGTTAGTTAAGGTAAGAAAAGGAATACAAAGGGGGGCTTACTGACCTAGGGACAAGAGGTCGAAACTGAGGTCCCTAGGGCAGCAGAGGCCAGCTTATATATAGGGGAAGATAAGGGCAGGCTGTGCGCACTGGTCCGTGCACAGCTGGTCCATGCACAACATGCTGACGTGGCCCCGGGGGGCACTACCATCCATCTAATGTAATCGTACAGTAGATAACGACTTGTCCATTCGAGTGTATAGTACAGAGGTCACGGGTTCAAGCCCACGAAAAGGAAAAAAATTAAAAAACGGCTAGACACTGTACCAACTCGTGACATTACCCCCCCTCAATGGCGCATGACCTCATGTGAGGTGCCCTTGCCCATCTCCCACCTGGAGTGGCAGCGTGCTTCAGTCAGCGGCAAAGGCATCAGCTGGAAGTTGAGACCACCAAAGAAAGCGGCATTGAGGCGGCAAGGGGCGTTCGGGTTCTTCCGGTGGAAATCAGCTATGAGGGCCGGCGCATTTGCAATGTTGCGCACCGGTTTCCATGATGTGTGTGAGTCGTCATAACCCTTCCACTTGACGAGGTACTGCAACTGACACTGGAAGATCCTTGAATCCTTGATCCGCTCAACCTCGTACTCCTCGTTGCCCTCAACCTCGATCGCAGGTGGCTCCTTCAGCTCCCGGCCCGGAATCTCGCTACGCGTGTACTTGCTGAGCAAGGAGACATGGAACACCGGGTGCACCAGCACTGACTTTGGCAGAACCAATTCGTAATCCAAGTCTCCGAGCTTTTGCCGCACGGCATAAGGTCTGAGGCACTTGGGACTGAGCTTCTTGCTCGGCTGTTTCAGCTTAAGGTTCCAGGCATCAAGCCAGACCTTGTCCCCTGGCACAAAGACTGGTGCCTCCTGCACGTGCTTGTCGTAGTACACCTTCATACGCTCGGCTGACAGCTCAAGCGCGGAGCGCGTATCGTCGCGAATCTCCTTCAGGATCTTGAGCCGATCAGTGGCCACAGGCATCGCAGACATCGGATTGATCCGCACTTGGATCTCAGGATTGTACCCTTGATGCAGGAAGAAAGGGGAGTGCCCGGTCGCGGAGTGAACTCGGTTGTTCAGTGCGAATTCCGCGAGCGGCAATTGCTTCACCCAATCATCCTGCCTGTGGCTTGTGAAAGCGTGCAGGTACTGCTCGATCTCCTGATTCCAGCGCTCCGTCTGGCCGTCCGTCTGAGGGTGGAATGCCGTGGACAGCGCCAGCTCGATTCCCAGCCCCTTGTACACCACATGGAGATATTTTGAAGCAAACTGGGGATCTCAGTCTGATATGACCTTGGCTGGGGCCCCATGATGCTTGAACATGTTGCGGATGTACAGGTCTGCCACACCTTCTGCCATCAGGGTCCCATGACAGGCCAAGAAGTGGACCTGCTTGGTAAAGCGGTCGGCGGTAACCAGGATCAAGTCAAATCCATCAGACTTTGGCAAGCCAATAATCATATCGGTTGTGATGATCTGCCACGGGCGCTCGGGGATCTCGTTCGGCTTCAGCGGGCCCTGGGGCTTAGCTGGGAATGTCTTGGTATGGTTGCACACGTCACAGGTGCTTACATACTCGTTGACAAATTTAGACATTCCTGGCCACCAGTAATTCTGCGATATGAGCTCAAGGGTTTTGGCATGACCGCTATGACCGGCAATCGGCAAGTTGTGATGGATTTTGGCGATATCCCGCCAGAGCTCTACGTTCTTTGGGACGTATACACACCCGCGGAACAGCAAAAGCCCTTGCTTGGCATTCCACTCCTCAAAGCCCCATTGTAGCCGGGGTGGTCCGAGATCCTGCACCTTCTTAAGTGCCTCGGCCACCTCCCGATCCTTCTCCGAACACTCCCTGATGCACTTCAGAAGTGACTGATCGGCCGTCACCGAGACATGGCCACGCGGGGCGAAGGTGATGTGGAAGCGCTCTGGCTTGAGAACCACCTGATCAGTGTTATCTGTCACGAGTTGGTACGGCGTCTAGCCTTTTTTAATTTTTCCTTTTCGTGGGCTTGAACCTGCGACCTCTGTACTATACGCTTGAACGGACAAGTCGTTATCTACTGTACGATCAGATTAGATAGGACGGCAGTGCGCAGCACAGCTCAGGCTCCGCTGACATAGCCGCTCTGACTCACCGGCCCCCGGGGCCGCGTCGGCATGCTGTGCACGGACCAGCTGTGCACGGACCAGTGCGCACACCTGCCCTTATCTCCCCATGTATATAAGCCAACCTCTGCTGCCCTAGGGACCTCAGTTTCGACCTCTTGTCCCTAGGTCAGTAAGCCCTCATTTGTATTCCTTTCTTACCTTACTAACTAATGCATTTACTTGTCCCTAGCCTTAGGTTTGAGCATTGCTCACCATCGCTTCGGTGAGAATCAGTCGGATGCCCCCAGCTTTCAGGTTTTCTCCAGTTGCTTGACCTCAAGTCACGACAATCTTGTCCCCCTTCTTCTTCATCAAAAAGAAGGAAGGGACACTTCGACCTGTGCAGGACTACTGCCAATTGAACACGATCACAGTCAAAAATTGCTACCCTTTGCTGCTGATCGCCGAGATGGTAGATAAGCTCTGCGGGGCCACGCTCTGTATAAAGTTCGATGTCCAGTGGGGATACAACAATGTCCGGATCAAAGCCGGCTATGAGTGGAAAGCGGCCTTTGTGACCAACCGAGGGTTGTACGAGCCCCTGGTGATGTTCTTCAGTCTCACTAACTCCCCCGCAACCTTCCAGGCGATGATGAATGACATCTTCCATGATCTCATCATCAGCGGAAAGGTCCTCGTGTCACAATCTCAAACTGATTGGGGAGTCCCTCAAGATAGTGGCACCAGTCGTCTAGCGCTTCGATGATTGCGAGCATTTTCTTATTGTAGATCTCATAGTTTCACTGTGCTGGATCCATCACATGGGATGAAGGTGATAGGGTGCCATTTGCCGTCGTCCTGCTTCTGCATCAACACGCCGCCAGTGGTGTAGCCCGAGGCGTCAACCTTAATGCACATCTTGTCACAATGTGCTCTGCCACAGTCCCCTGGTCAGCCTAGGACGATCCCCCGGTGGCGGGAGCCACCACACCATGTGACCACATGGTTGCATCAGTTGCGGAGCATTCGGACCGGAGCAGAGCTCCGGCCACACTTCTTTTGTTGCATTGTTCCTGTGGCCAAGTGGCCCTTGTTCTCCTTTTGGACTGCTTTGTTCTTTCTTCTATTGTTCTGCCGTGGGAATGCTTTCCCCTGCTCATGTATATAAAGAGCTCTGTAGCGACCCTTTAATCCATACTTCTGTGACCCACTTCGACTTCAGCCCCTCTTGTGGCATTCAGTCCCCCAGTGCTAGTCCTGTGCAACTGCTCCCTGCGTCGCCTTTTTGATAGGTTATGAGCCCCGCGCTCTAGCAGTCAACTACACACACTACTAGCGCGCCACAGAGT